GGTGGTGATAGAATCTTCTAGGCTTAACTGAAATTTATTTTGTCTAGAATTTTCTATGAATGGCTGTGAGCTTTAATTCAGCAACTTTCCGATTCTTTTTCAAAGTCGGTGCTGATTCTTCAAATCCATGAATCAAGGCCACAGTAACTTGCAAAACCACCATAAAAAGATAACAGCCGCCACCTTCTTTAATCAATGAAATTGAAATGGCACTTTAAGGCAAAAATCTCACCTGGTTTACTATTGTAGCATTATGTGGAAGAAGTGGACACTGAACTTCTTGAATCTCCGACAGCATTACAAAGAGTTGGTCAATATAAGGAGTTCGACCAGAAGCACAATCGGTAGCAGCTTGCGCTTAAAAGGAATCTTCATTAAACCGTTGTCCTTGATTCCTGCAAACACTGCCCAGATAGATTCTACTCTCGGAAGCTCAAGGACATACATTTCAAGCCTGTCTATCAGTAATATTTCTGATCTAGTAGTGGTGTAAATGATCTAGCCCGTGGATCTTATGCTTGCTCAATTTCGTGCATAAAGAATTTGATTACTAACCATTTCTCATTTATGTTACCAAGTGACACATAAGAACAAAAATAAACTGTCTGGATAATGAAATTATTGATTTTCCCTAGTTAGACCAAATAAAATTAGCTAGCCATTCACAATATTAAAGATTGGAAACTGCATTTTACCTATTGTATGGCAGAAATAAAGCACTGGTTTCCGACTACAGCAAATATCTTGATGATCGAGTAGTTTCCTTGCTCTAAAACTTATGAAGGGTCAGAAATTGTTTAGGCGATCTTCACCTTATCAGCATTAAGCACGGTACAAGACCGTAATAAACAGTAGACAATACTATGAAACAACATTTTTAACTTCTTTTTCCTTTTTGGTACTATTCCACGTTGTCCAATATACGTCAAAAATCAATCAAAAAGTAAAATGTGTTCCAAGAGTTCATTTCAGTTGCAAAACCCATCCGTAGAAACACGGAATGATGGAATGATGCTATAACTAGAGACACAGAAAAAGAAATTAGTACTTCAGCAAAAGAGAAGCGTATGTTGTTATCAGGTTTATGAAGTACGAAATCCAAAATGATCCTATGAAAGTAACATACAAGTTAGATTGATATGCATTTAAGGCATATTTGTTTTGTAGTATCAGACGGGAAGATTTAAGCTTCATTTTTCTTTTTTTTCTAATTTCAAGTTTAAAATAACTTAGAGAATGAAACTACAATCAGCTAACAAAAGGTTGAACTGTGTTACACATGCCTGGATTTTTCATGCACCAGAGCGGCTGAATGGGTTCAGCACCTATTCCCCTAGTAACCATTCTAAATCTCCACTCATTCAACCGATTTGTAGCCTCTGCATATCTTTTCTTTCCGGTTTCATCTCTGTTCCCGGACCATAATGCCTCACCCATTGCTGATGCTCTAGGCCATATCCGTGAATCCATAACACTGGAGTCAGCTTGCTCTGACCATAATGCCACCTCCCCTCCCAATACCAGCTTTGACTCCGTCTCACTCAAACCATATGTTATATCGTAATTATAGATAGTTTGCCATGTTTTGAAGGGTTCACACCATGATCCGCCATTACCTGGATCAGTACCCAGTGGCTGATCATACCGACTATCATTTCCAAGGAAACTTCCATGTCCACAATCCAAGTAATAGAAGTCTGAGGATGATACAATGACACGGTAACCAGACGCAACAACTCTTTTAGTGTTATTTGGCCCTTTGTTCCATGTTTGCAGAATAACATTTGCTGGAGGAAGAACCGAAGGGATCACTTTGATAATAGAATCCAATAACACGTCCTCCCAGTAAACAACTGTCCGGTTTAGGGAGGTAATATAAGGTAAGGTAGAATTAACAAACATTTCAAGAATCTGACTAAGGGTTCCATTCTTAGAAAGGAAAGTTTGAATTGAAGGGTCGACTTTCCAGCAATTCGGAATGATCTCATCAGCTCCTGCATGATAGAATGAATCAGGAAACATGGTAGCAACATCCTTGATGACATTTTTGACAACTTCATAGGTCTTGGGGCTTAAAGGATTCAGTTGACCGGTGCCCGGTTCAGACGCAAACCGGTCAGCCCATTCGGCTTCTGCAGGCCACCAGAACATGTTTGCACAAGTGATGATCTCGGGGTAAGCTTCAGCCCATGATCCTGTATGTGCTGCAGATATGGAAATGATAATAGGTTGCTTAGCATATTCATGAGATGCTAATTTGTATGGAATTACAGATGTAAGCAAGCTTGAGTTCAGATTGTTTTATCTATGAGATGTCAAATACTGCGCTACTAATGCAGTTTGCACAAGTAACATGTGCTAAAGATATAGAACAATACTCTTAATAGTTTGAGTGCGTAACTAACATACAGTATTTACTTTGTAAATCTATAAATACGTCTCTTTTTAATTTCAAGATAAACCAGTTGTGCAACTTAATACCTAAACATAGATCATTTTACAAGCTAATAAGAATTCAGCGTTTACATGATGACTAAAAAATGAGGGTGGCATTTTGATCTGGTCGGAGAAAATTACAAATTTTATTCATTCATTCTATGGGACACACGCAAGTCAATTGTTTCAACGCTCACCGAACTTTGGGTAGTGTCACGTTTTACTCACTGTACTTTAACTTGCACCATATCACTCACCGAACTTTGCACCGTTGCACTCCATTGCTCACCATGTTCCTCCCGTCACTAACGGCTGCACACGTGGAGGACGGAATTGACACGTGGCCTTTAAATTCCACATCATACTGTAATTCTCACCAAATATGAAAAAATTGAAGCTGTAGATTCATCTCTCCCATCCCATTCATTCCTTCAATCTCCCCAGCCGTTAACCCTAACCCCAAATCCATCTCTTCCAATCTAAATCCCAAATTCAAATTTGCAGACGGATTATGAAGCTGGTGAACGTTCTGATTATATAAATGGATTGCCATACACAACCATTAAATCTGATTCCTTTGTGTTAGATATTGAACGCTTAGACAAAGATAATAATGCAAATTCAAGAATTAAAGTAAGTTTTTTCTTTCTTAATTTGATCTTTTTCTGGGATTAAGTCTTTATTCTTTCCCTTTACTTTGGCTTTCTTTTTGTTTAAATTTTCCAAAAACAAACTATCTATGCGCGCAAAAAAAAAAGGGCTATTCTTTTTTGTTTATGTGTGTGCCTTTGGATGATAAGTTGCAGAGAAGCCTTTCAAGAAAAGGGACATTCAGAGGAGTCGAGAAGAAAAATACAGCCAACGAGAAAGACATTAGTGTCACTGCAACTTCGCCTAGAGGTAACCATTACTCCTTTTTTTGCTATGAATTTGGGTTGTCTTGGGTAACGAGGACACAGTTTGAAGGATTTAGATTTGGGATTGGGGAGATTGAAGGAATGAATGGGATGGGAGAGATGAATCTACAGCTTCAATTTTTTCATATTTGGTGAGAATTACAGTATGATGTGGAATTTAACGGCCACGTGTCAATTCCGTCATCCACGTGTGCAGCCGTTAGTGACGGGAGGAACATGGTGAGCAATGGAGTGCAACGGTGCAAAGTTCGGTGAGTGATATGGTGCAAGTTAAAGTACAGTTAGTAATACGTGACACTACCCAAAGTTCGATGAGCGTTGAAACAATTAACTCGGACACACGCCGAATATCAACAAATGTGAGCGGTCGCTAAGTAGAATTCGATATCAACAATTATTTATCCCATTCCTCCACTCCGTCTCCCCAAAATATCTATTTCTTTATCTTCAACTCCTTAAACACCACCGCCCGCCACCATCAATCACTATTTGAAATCACCAAACGCATTAATTTACTATAATAATAAAAATTCAAACGCATTCATTTTCCATCACAGAAAAAAAGTGGTTAATCGACAAGTTCTACTCACCGGGCATGTCAATTTCAGGCACAATTCGAACACCGTATTCCATCCCAAACTCCACCACCCGATTCACGTCCTCCGCCGTGTACTTCATTTCTTCACCGTACGCTCCTTTTTCGGCCAGCTCCGGCTCCGACGGAAGCACCAGTGGAAATGAATGCGAATCCGTTATATGCCAATGAAACACATTCAATTTATTCATACTCATCGCCTTTACAAGCCTCAACAAATCGTCCACTGGGTAATAATTTCTTGATGTGTCAAGTACGATTCCGCGGTGCATAAAAAGTGGTACGTCGGAAATGTACAACCCGGAAGCGACAATTGAGGGTTCTGAATACACTAATTGAGAAAAAGTTTCCAGTCCGCGCATTGCGCCCCATACAGTATGGGCGGAGAGTGTAGCGTTTGTAGACCCGGAGGAGGGGATTGTGAGGGTGTAGGACTCGTCTACGCCGTGAGTTAAAGGCGAGGAGAGGTCAGTGATGGTTATGATCAACAATTGAAGTGGCGGTGCTGACGTCAAGTTGAGTGGTGGTTTGATCAGGGCCTGGTGGTGCTCCGTCAGGACTTGACGGAGATAACGGTCAACGGCGGTAGTTAGGTAACGGTGGTAAGGGTTTGAGATTGTGAAGTTCGGGGAGAGTAGGATTGCCTGTGGGTGGGTCCAGAGAAAGGTCGTGGGCTTCGGCCATACGTTGATTGGGTATCGAACGGCTGAGATTCCAGGGATGGAGGAACATAATATAAAGATAGTGACTACCGACAAAGGGAGAGGAAATGAGAATTTAGTGTTACCCATTTTGGCTTTTTTTTGAGTTTTGCTTATTGGAAATTGTTCTTTGAACTACAATAGCAAGTCTATTTATATCTTTCTTTAGATATTTCGGGCTTGGTCGTGGTCTCGTGGATTTTACGTTTTAGTTTTACCTTTTGTAAAAGAGTTTTATAAAAAAGTTATTTTATATCATTTTTATCTAAAGACTCTTTTGCCATCCAAATTTACGTTCCGATAAATCTAAATTCAAATTCTGCTCCAATGAAAATATCTAAAAAAAAAAATTGGGTGCCAGTGGTACACTAAACAAATACTACATTTATATCTTCTATTTGGTGTGAATTAAAATTCAAAGCAAAGTCATCTTTCATGAAATTCACAACTGTCCAACTACACATTTCATCGATTTTTGTCAAATTTACTAAAAACACGATTTTTAGCCAAGGGTATAATTCTCCTTGATTTTAAGAATCCAGGTATATTATGTTAACTTATTTGCATCGTGAAATTCACCTTTAGCTACAACTAGGACTTCAAAGAGAAGGGTTTCTTTTGACAATTAGGAGATTCCGAAAAAGAAAGACGTCAAAGAGAACGTGTTTGGTCTCCGTCAATTTGGAGTTTAGTTTTTGCCCATATTGCACGATTAAATATCACTTTTTAATCAAGAGGGCTGGTAAACTTCTCGTATATAATGTCTAACTTATTTGCATCGTGAAATTCACCTTTAGCTACGACAAAGACTTCAAAGAGAAGGGTTTTTTTAACAATTAGGAGATTTCAAAAAAGAAAGACGTCAAAGAGAACACGTTTGGTCTCCGCCAATTTGGAGTAGTTTTTGCCCATATTGCACGATTAAATATTACTTTTTAATCAAGAGGGCTGGTAAACTTCTCGTATATAATGTCTAACTTATTTGCATCGTGAAATTCACCTTTAGCTACGACAAAGACTTCAAAGAGAAGGGTTTTTTAACAATTAGGAGATTCCAAAAAAGAAAGACGTCAAATAGAACATGTTGGGTCTCCATCGATTTGGAGTCTAGTTTTTGCCCATATTGCACGAATAAATATTACTTTTTTAATCAAGAGGGCATGTAAACTTCTCGTATATGGTCAATAGATTTAAATTTCATGATTTGATTTTTCTTTCCTAAGACTACTCAACTTTATAATATATTAAACAAAGACAAAGTGATAACTAACATTGCCAAATTCAAAATCTGGCATAATCGGCTCACATTAACAATAGTGAAATTATCATAAGCTCGTTAATTTAGGGCATGTTTTACATGACTTTTAAAAAATCAAAATGAGCTTTTGAAACCAAAAAATTGCATTTGAATCCATTTGACTAATTTTATGAAAGCGTTTCCGATAGTTAGAAGAGTTTTTAGAGAATGCAAATTCAATGTGTGCGACTTTCTCTATGAGCACTTTTAGAATAGAAGGTGTTTTTAAAATTAGTTCTCAAACAAAAATTAAGGTAACTTTCTCAAAAAATTCTTCCACATAAAGCAAAAATTAATCCCAACGAGCCCTCAATAGCTCATCGGGAAGTCGTCCTAGTACGGGGCGGCTTTGCTAAGAGCAAGAGAAATCCTGACTTCTCTCTCAGTTCCAAGCAGAATAGGAGGAAAATACGTTGCTTAATCATGATGGGATAGCGGAAATGCACAGTTCGGAGTTTCTTTTAATCTTTATTGGTTAACACATGAGCCAACGTTTGGGAGGCATTCTCGCCCCATTATAATAAAAATTTCAACCGTTGGCTCTGCAATGGATCAATGGATCCCTTCATCACTCACATTAGTGAGACATGTTGGTGACCATTCGAATTATGTTACACGATAAAATTGTCCCTTCATGTTTTTATATTCACACAAAAATGAAGGATAGAAACGATAATCGACAAAAACAAATGAATAGTCAAATGTTGTGGGCGTCATTTTATTTAATTTTTTGGCAGAAAGTGGGCCCATTTTGACGATAAAAAAATATATTCTTCGGACAAAAAATGGCTACCAAACAGGAGGAAAAATACAAGGCTATCCCTTGATCGATGTCTCCAAGAAATATTTGACTTGCCTACTCAGATTATAAAGATCAGTAATAGATACCCGGGAAGATATAAAGCAAATAAATCTAGATCGGTACATTTTCAAAGGAGAAAAACCATGATCAAGCAACCTAATAGAATTCTCTATTACTTCTGCAGACCAAATCAATAGTTCGCAGTGACGAGAAAAATAGAGAACAAACCTTACAGATGTCTTTATTAAAAGAAAGGGGAAACAACAAGATCAATACATAAAAGATTCGATCAACCCGCTTTCCGCTTCCAAGCATACCCCCTCATTGGTTAGAATGTAACATTGATAGTTGGAAGAGAACCTCAACCACTTTCAAACTTTCCATGCTTCTTCACCTTCGTATCACCATCAGAAAGGGCATGTGAACACTTGAATTCAACCATCGCATCAAACCACGAGCCAGTTACTGTCGATTGATCTACAAGAAATAATCAGGCGTTCTTCGAGTTACATCAGGTTCCCCTCTCCTTGGAGCTGGCTCAAACTGCAACAGTCAAATCACAAGCCATGTCGTTAATTAACCCGCATTGCACCAAAATACAGAGAAAATATCACTCAACTGATAATTCATTATGTCTCAGATTCTCGAGGATAATTAAATGTCAAAATAGGGTTGTCACACAAACATGGAAGGAGGAAGGAGAAGGGAACCTGGATAAATGTTTGCTCTCTATTATCATCAACTTCCAGAATGGATGCCATATTCCCACAACGATAACAATAATTTGGTGCACTGAAAATTGTGACAACTTTTTGTTCCTGAGATAGATGTCAAATTCGATCACGAAAACCCTCTTCAACTAATAGCACAAGTGATAAACAAGTTAAATAATGTTACAAGAAAAAAATTACATGGGACCAGTTGTATCCCTCCATAACCAACTGATGAGCTCTAGCAATTAGGTTTAAGTTGTTGGTATGATTGAATTGCTCTGATATGTCCTGGAATAAGTACAGTACATGATACTGATTAGATTAAAGATGGGAAAAAACCTCCAATAAATAGATGAAGGTACCTGGCCAAATGTGTATCCTGCACCACGGGGGGAGATACCCCAACCACATCGATCATCAGGGTCAGACCATAAAAGATCACACATGGGACCTTCGTGTGGAACTTCTTGAACACGGTCAAAGTTTCTTATATTATCAAGGGTTTCAATAGAGGGGGACAGTCCACCATGCAGACAAAATATTTCTGATTCAACCTATTGATCAGAACACTGAGTCAGAATCAACTTGCAAGCAAAATAAACTTGTTGTAAAATGGGTTACAATTATCATCTGAAGTTGAAATTAACACAAGTTTCAACTCATGGTTCTTTGGCAATTTACTCCCATACAAATGTTGAGAAACCTGTACAGAAAGAACAAACTAAAACTTTTGTAGCATAAAACAGAATGCATTTCCCAATGGTTCAAGTATTGACAGATTTCAAATTGTAAGGCATTTACAATTGTTAGAAAATGTTGCCTAAGGGAATAATAAGCACATCTGAAACTTGTTAGGCTCCAAATATTCTTCTTCCCCTTTTTTATTCATTAAAGGCTAAATAAATAGCAGCTTTCGTCTCCAATCTATACCCTCTTTTACACTTCTACTCCCAACCTTTATTTCTTTGGTATTCTTACCAAAAACCTTTCACATATTAGCAGCATCCATCCCCTTTGACAGTTTCCAGCCAAAATCGTCATTGAGTGAGTGTAAAAAGACAAACATATCCTGAACTTTAAAATAAATACAATAAAAAAAATGAAGGAAACTAATAAAAGTACAAAAATAAAAATGTATTCTTCTCCAGTGACAACCCTAGGCAGCACCCTGCCACCAACCATACCCCAAGCACCACCCACCACCACAATGGATGTTTCAAAGCCATTCAGAAACCATAATGGATGTTCCACAAAAGTTCTATCTTTGAATCAATTCCCCATAAAAAATCGAAGAAGTAAACTCAGAAAAGAATTCTGACAAAATCAAAAAAGAAGATGAAATGGCATTGAGAAGGTAAGAATGCTAACTGCTGATTCGTGAACTTCCAAAATTTAAATGTACAGATAGGCAAGCTGATTATGGTATAGAAAGAGAGACAAAAAAATGGAAGGAACATGAACAGCAGAAGCTGTGACGACAACAAAACAGAAACAAATGGCACTAATGGTTGTTTAGGTGCTCAGGTAATTGGTTCAATGTTCAACGGAGACTCTATTTATAAAATTAGTGGTGGGCGGAGTCGAGATATATTTTAATTCTTCCATCAATTAATTAATTAATACAATTATAACCAATAAATTGTTGTTTCAATGCCCAACTGATTGATCAATTGTTCACTGCAAATGTATGTAATTCAATAAGCATCAAATTGGGTTTTGTTGGTTGGAAGCTTTCTCCCGAAGAAATAGTAGATGATTTGAAATGAAGAAAGAGAAGGGATAGGGATGAAGAATTCGGCCATTATTAAGGACACACATTTTATCGTTGTATTCTCCAGATCTGTTAAAGGTAATTCGCCTCCGGCAATGGAAATGAAGCTCTGCGGTGGTAGTTGGGGCGGCGTTAGAGAACTGATGGAATGTGTGTGTTTGTCGTAGGGAGAATAAAGGGAAGGGTGATGAAGATGAATCTTATTTTTTTAATTTATTTTCTTTCTATTTATTGGTTTTTTATTTGAGTAAAAGGGTAATTTTGTCTATCTACACTTAACAGTCATTTTGGATGGAAATCGGGTCCTCTAATTTATGAAAGGTTGAGGGTAAGAATGCCAAGAAATAGAGGTCGGAGATAGAAGTGCGAAAGGTGGTATAGGTTGGGGATGGGAGTAGCAATTTAGCCTTTTTAAAGAGAGTGATTTACAAATATCTACACTTTTTGACTTCAGTCAACCAATATAGCAATTTACATGTGATGTCCTCCTTTACAGGAACGTAGATG